TAGTATGGGATATTTTTAATATATAATAATAATTATATGAGAATTAATAATTTATTTAACATTATTTATATAAGTTTTATAACCAGTATAAATTGTAGCTTTGTGATATATATCCGTATTGTTTATTATATTGTTAATTATGTGTTGTGTCTTAATGGTAAGTAATCTTGTATGTTTTCAAATGGTCACAAGTTCGAATTCAGGTTGATGCAATTTTGGATGGATGGTTTAATGATTTTTACGAATAATGAATTAATACAACAAGTGCAGTGCACTTGCACCTTTCTAGTTTCTAGTGACCATAAAAGGCTCAAATAATCATTAAATTAAAAATTTTAAAATTTAGCTCCAAACTGAAGTTTTTAAAAATTTCTATTCAGTCCCTTCAATTTTTAGAAAATCCCTCAGCTTCCTTTAAGTTGGGGGACTGAATTGCAATTTATGAGTCACCTCTCTGAACCACCCCCGCCACCACCACATCTGTCCCCACCCTCAACAATCCTTGATTTCTCATCCGCTTGTCTGCCGCCACTAGACATACATCCAGGTAGACATGGCCACGGGCCGGGTTTGACCCGGCCCGACCCGACCCGGCGACCGCCCCGCCCCGTTGACCACGGACCCGGACCCGAAAATGTATGGGTCGGTTTCGGGTCCCGATATTTTGGACCCGAGGACCCGACCCGAGTACCCGTCGGGTCCACCCGAATAAAAAATATTTTTTTTTTCAAAATTTGAAAACGCAACGGCTGTAAACCGGACCCGAACCGAACCCGGCCCGAACCCGGTCTGAGAATTCAAATTTTTTTTTAAATTACAACGGCTAAAACTCGGGTTCACCCGGACCCGACCCGAAAATTCAAATTTTAGTGAATTAAGGTTTTGGATCCGGACCCGGACCCGCCTCCACACGGGTCGGTTTCGGGTCCCGAAAAAGTAGGACCCGGACCCGGACCCGACCCAGCCCGTGGCCATGTCTACATCCAGGTCATAGGTCGCAATTTTCTATAAGTTTATTGTACAATTTGTGGTTAGTAATATTCTTAATAAATTCTAATCAAACGTGACACCTACAATTACTCTTATTATAGGTAATTTCAGCGAAAGACTTTATATAATAATTATTGTAGATAGGAATTTACATCAAAAATTTTCTTTTAAAATCAGACGAAGGGAGTTCACATCTTACTATACATTAATCAACTAATTAACTCATTAACATGTTACTGCATGGCTAGAGTAGTACTATGTATAACAACCCAAAAAGAAATTTCGTGCAAATTTAGTTGATTAGCGGGTAAACTGCATAAAACCCCCCTGTGTTATGGAAAATCTACACAAGACCCCCCTATGTTAATTTTATTGCTTAGAATCTCATGTATTTTATTAACACCGTTAACTATTTAGGGAATTCCATGCATATTTTTCATAACACATGGGGTTTGGTGCATGTTATTTACAATACAAGTAGAATTTGTAAAATTTATTTATTTATTTAAAAGTTGAATTATTTTTTTGAAATTAAGTCAAATACATTTATTCAATATTTGAAAGTTGAATTTTCAAAATTATTTATATCAAAACTAAATTCGAATTTTCATATTATTTATATTCTTTGACATATAATACATTCAAGATATATTATACAAATATGAAATATATAAAAATATTGATATTATAAGTATACAAATTTGATTTTTTTAAAATACATTGATAAAAGACTTTTTCTTATTCAAAATTGGAAATATCCAAATTTTTTTATTTAGTTTCAATTTTGATGCAATTGTTTTTTATAAAATAAATGGAATCAAATTTTGGAAATCCAAGTGAGAAAAACAATGTTCTAAAATTTTAAAAATTGAATTCGAAACGGCAGAATTACCAAAAAAATTTAAAATAAATAAAAAAGTGTTAGAAATTTCATCCTTACCATTAGTCTTTAATTTTTATATTGCAATTGAATATATGTGTTTGACTTTAAAAATATAATTCGAATTTTAAATAAATAAAATTATTTTTGCATGAATCCCCCATATGTTGAAGAAAATATGCAACAAACTCCCTTGTGTTCTGAAAAACTTGCATGGAATCCCCTAAATAGTTAACGTTGTTAATTGTTAACGGAATGGGGGATTTCATGCAAGGTAAAAAATAAAACACCCGGGGTTTTACTCAATAAAGTTAACACAAAGGAGTTTGGTGCATATTTTCGATAACACAGAGGGTTTTATGCAGTTTACCCTAGATTAGCTTCAAAAAATTATTTCTGTTAAACCATTCGTGCAAAGCACTTGACATGTTTACCACATAGTCTTTGAGGAGTCTACCTTAAAATAGTTTTGAAAATATCTTTAGCCAATTGGGAGAAATAATTAAAATGGTACATAGACTCGGTGTAAAATTCATAATAGGGGACGGAACTTGGAACATTCCTTATAAATTCTCTTAGGTTCCAATTCCAATCAGTTGGGTTTATGGGAGTTACGATAATAAAGATGGCGTGGTTGGCTGACTTTTTGATATTGCATAGCTGCCCCAATATGAAGACTGATGTTCAAATTCAATATCAGCTGCATCGAGTCACATGGAGAGTTTTTTCAAGTTGGCGAAAATGCATATTAATCCCTGCCTGGGGTTTTTTTTACAAATATCGAGACTGTCATAGGAATAGAATTTTTAGTTTTTCTCATTTTTACCCCATTTTGCCGTCTCATAATTGTAATAGACTCTATAGGGTCGTTAATGACTTTTTATTTTCACTGTAGGGGTACTCTTTTTTCCTGTGATGGGCCCACAGGGTTTTAACGAGGCCCCAAATGCTTTATCATAATGGTATAATAAAATCTTTTTTGGGAAAAAAAGAAAGAAAAAACTTTCCAATTCCTACCTGTTAGGTTAAAACACAACAGTGAATTGGGAATCTATTTCAAATGGAATCAATCTATTGTTGCATTTCCTGTAATGTTTTCTGTATTATTGTTGCATTTCCTGTAATCAATGAAATAATGATTATGCGAATCGTTTGTGCTGGTGTTGGTCACACGATAGAGATAAGCTTGCAAGTTCTGCCATGTGTTGTTTCCACGATCTGTGTCGAGCTTCAATTCTATATCTATTTCTTTTTATAAATTTTTAGATGGAGAAGATGTCAAAAGAGCTCATGCTGCAAATCTGATTGGTGGTTAGATTTTCTTATTCATTCTTGTTCTCTTATGTTTGGAAGTTGGAACAGTTGACTTTCTTACATGACTATTTTATTGATAAGTATCGTGGGTAGGGATGGCAATTTGACCCGCCCCGATTTGTTCCGAAAATTTCAGGTATTACCTGTCCCGAAAAAAATGGAACGAGTATGGGGACTGATATTTTTTTTGACCGGATACGGATACGGATACGAGTTTGTCTAGACCCGTCCCGTACTCTTCCTGCATTATTTATATATATAATATATATTTACTAATTATTATATTAAATATAAATAATTAAATAGTATTAATATATTAAATATTAGCTACAAATGGGATTTTCAGGTTTCGGTTATATAATTAAATATTAGTAATAAAATATAATATTTGTTTGTTTGTTCAAATAAGGTCTTTAAATTATAAACACATTGCATATTTATTTATTAAAAAAAAATAAATGGGGATTTTTACCCGCGCCGGTACTCTAGGGGATTTTTTTTGCCGAGCGGGATGGGAATTGCAAAACCCGCCCCATTGTCATCTCTAATCGTGGGCGTTAACTATTTTTAGATTTTGAAGATACTAATTATTGATACTCAATAATTGTAAGGTTAATGTTAAAGAGACCTAAGACAAGGGTACTTAATTAAAAAAATGACATCCAATTTTTTTGTCTCTTCAAATTTTTTTTCAAATAAGGAAAACGCTTTTATATATACCAAAATTACTCCCAATTCCTTGAAACCCAATTCAACTTCAATTTCATGATTTACACCTCCAATTTAGCCAAATTTCCCCAATTAATCAATTTTGACCATAATTCCAATTTTTACACCAATTTTGACCAGCCACCACCGAAGACCGCCGAACTCGGGCGTTGACCTTTTTTTTTTTCATTATTTTGTTTTTTCTTAAAAAAATATTTTAATTAATATTACTGTCTTGGCTGCTAAATTACTGTCTCCAACTGCAGTAATTTAACTGTTAATTGACTTTTCTTTTTTCTTAAAAAAATTATGTTAATTAATATTACTGTCTTGGCTGCTAATTTAATGTACCCAACAGTAATTTAACTGTCGGAGACAGTAATTTTACTGTTACTTGATTTTTTTTTTGAAATTTTTTTTTTCATAAAAAAAAATATTTTAATTATTATTATTGTCTTAGCTGCTAAATTACTGTTTCCAACAGTAATTTAACTGTATGAGACAGTAATTTTACTGTATTAATTAGTTTTATCATCTTGGCCTGCAATTTTGTTGTCTTCGAGCGTAATATTACAGTCTCTGACCGTAATATTACTGCCTCATGCAATAATATTATTGTTTGGAACAGTAATATTACTGTTTGGAAAAGTAATATTCATAATATTACTACCCCAAATAGTAATATTATTGTTTGAGAGAGTAATTTAGTAGCGAAGACAGAAATATTAATTAAAATAATTTTTTTGAAGGAAAAAAAAAGTCAACGCTGAAATCTGGCCGGTAAAAAAAAAAAAGAAAAAATACTATTTTCTGAAAAAAAAAATTGTTTTAAAAAAATATTAAAATGTGAGTTAATGTGATATAATTATTTAAATCTGAGTCAATATGTAATACTGAGGAAGTTAGAGTATAATGGATGAAATTGATAAAAAATATATTATGGAGGATATTTTATATTAAAGACATAGGGATGTGTTTATTTGAAAGACTGTTTTTTGTGTGAATCAATATGTATTTAAGTCCCTTTTCATGTTCCTCTTTACCATTTGCTCATAATTGTATTGTTAACAAAGTCAAACTCGTGTTTTAACAGGGATAATAAACAATATTTGGATAGTTAGATTCAAGATTCCACTAATTTTTTATAATAATTAAAATTTGACTTGTTAAAAAAGTCACAACTTGCTAAAACTTTAATAAGCTGAATACATATGAAGCCAAAGCAGAATCATATATGCATCCAAACACTTGAAAAATCTTAGAGTACATTGTCCAATATCGACGTTAAAATGGCTGGTACGGCTATTCAACCGTCTCTGCAAACACTTCGTGATTTGCTCATCGAAGAAGGAAGGTTAATATCTGGTGTAAGCAATGAAGTTAAAAAAGTTGAGAGGGAGCTGAAAACCATCCATTGCATCTTGATGGATGCTGACAAATGGAGAGATAAACACAAAACTGCTATTTTACATGACTGGATGGCCGAACTCAACGATCTGGCTTCGAGAGCTGAAGATGTGCTCGAAAAATATATGATTGAAGTCGCTTCAAAAAGAGATGGAAACCTGATAAAAAAGGTCAAACGGTTTAGTTGCATATTGAGCGAGTGCGTAAAAGTCCACGGAGTTGGGAAAGAGATTGAAGCCATTAGATCCAGCCTGACCATTCTCACTGGGAGGTTGCAAGTGATGGCCCCTGAAGCAAGCTCCTCCAATTCTACTGAGGATCACCAACATCGTCTGTCGAGGCTAACTTACGGCCACCAAGTTGAACAACATTTTGTTGGAATGGAGAAGGACATAACTTCTCTGGTAGCACTGGTGAAGGATCAGACGAGACCTAATCGTGTGATTTCGATTTATGGGATGGGAGGTCTTGGTAAGACCACTCTTGCCAGAAAAATTTACCAGCACAAGGAGGTGGTACGTTGTTATAGGGCTCGTGCGTGGGTTTGTGTTACGCAACAATTCCAAGCTACCACTGTTTTAAGACAAATTCTGAAGCAACTTCTTCCTGACGTGGAAAAGGAACGGATCAACTACCGCAAGATGGAACACTTTGAGTTGTTGGAGACACTTCATAATTTTCAGATGCAGAAAAGATGTCTCGTTGTGATTGATGATATATGGGAGACAAATGACTGGTCCCAGATATATGCAGCTTTTCCGATTATGGATCCTAATTGTAAAGTTCTGCTTACAACTCGTAACAAGAAAGTTGCTCCTCAAGAATATCTTTACAAACTCAACTGTCTGAATGAAGACCAAGGCTGGGAGTTACTTCGGGAAATAGCATTTCCAAGAGGTTAGTTTTTGCCATCTTCTCATCCATCCCACCTAAAACATTACTCGTCAGACACAAAAAACATTTGATTTCTTGCATGATTCTTAGGTTTTCTATAGCTTCGTTGTCTTGTGCGTGATTTAATAGAGGAAACATTATCACTACAAGAAAAATGATTTTTAGTGACAACACAAGTTGTCTGTCACATTAGATCGTAAAATTGTCACAAACGAGATTTAGTGTCAATGTAATGTTGTAACTACGTTGTCGATCACTAATTCTGTGTCGCTAATGCTCATTGGTGATAACTTACAAAATATTGTCATTTTAGATTTTGAACCGGAAATACACATTTGTGGCAAAGTGCATCGAGTTGTATATTTCGAAAGGGGACAGTCTCATTTTTTGTATTTTTAGGGGGAAAGTGCGAAAAAGGGTTCTTTTCGGGGGGCGTAGTGCAATTTGCTCTTTAAAAAATAAGCTACAATAATTCTATCAAATATAAATAACAATTATTGAGATATTACTGATAAAAATAGATAAAGATACGAAAGATGAATGTCCTTTAAAATAAAACAAATTTTGCAGGAAACATAAACTAGAAAACTTTTATGGGTTAATCTCACATATTTCCATCTCATTCAAACTTATTTGCAAATAAAGAAAATCATTTTATATATACCAAAATTACCCCCAATTCATTGAAACCTAATTCAACTTCAATTTCACGATTTACACCCCAATTTAGCTCAATTTCACCAATTAACCAATTTTGACCCGCCACCACCGGAGCCCACCGGTCAGCTACTGTTGACTTTTTCTTTTTTATTTTTTTAATTTGTTTTTTCTGAAATTTTTTTCCGGTAGGTCAATCGCCGGGTCTCCGGCGTGGATTTTTTTTTTTTTTTTTTCTGAAAAAGAATATTTTAATTAATATTACTGTCTTGGCTGCTAAATTACTGTCTCCTGCAATTAATTAACTGTGACGGTAATTTAACTGTTAATTGACCTTTTTTTTTCTTTAAAAAAATATTTTAATTAATATTACTGTCTTGTCTGTTAAATTACTGTCTCCAGCAGTTATGTAACTGTCGGAGACAACAATTTAACTGTTAATTTTTTTTTTTGAATTTTTTTTTTTTCGTAAAAAAATTATTTTAATTAATATTACTGTCTTGGTTGCTAAATTACTGTCTCTAACAGTAATCTAACTGTCTGAGACAGTAATAGTACTGTATTAATTAACTTTATCGTCCTGGCCTGCATTTTTGCTGTCTTTGACTGTGATATTACTATCTCCGACCGTAATATTACTGTCTAATGCAATAATATTACTGTTTGGGACAGTACTATTAGTAATATTACTGTTCAGGAAAATAATATTCATAATATTATTGTCTGAGACAGTAATTTAGCAGCCAAGATAGTAATATTAATTAAAATATTTTTTAAGAAAAAAAAAATTCAAACAGAAAAAAAAGTCAACACCGGAGACCGGCGGTCAACGGTGGTTGAGCGACCGGAAAAAAATTTCAAAAAAAAAGTTTTCAAAAAAAAAAAAAGTCAACGCCGGAATCTGACAGGAAAAAAAAAATTCAGAAAAAAAATATTTTTTCTGAAAAAAAAATATTTGTTAAAAAAATATTAAAATGGGGATTAATGTGATATATTTGTTTAAATTCGGTTCAATGTGTAATATTAAGGAAGTTAGAGTATAATGGATGAAATTAGGGCTGGGCAAAAATTACCAAATACCGATTACCACGGTATACCTACCACAAATTACCGAATAAATACCGAACTATCGGTTACCATTGCATTTGGTACGGTATCGGTACCGTACCATTGTCTTACGGTACGATAGCGGTATTGTATCTTCAATACCATGGTAATACCGTACCGTACCGCAACTTATTTTAAAAATTAGTTAACATATTTTTCCATTTATATTGTTAAATAAAAAAAATATAGTCAACAAATATTATTAAAAAAATAAAAAACAAGAATAAAGATATGATACATCCTATATATATTATATATACATAATTTTAATTTTCTTTTTTACTATTTTATATTTATGCAAACTCAATACTTGGCTCTCGTTGAAGTTGTTTATGTCACGTATTTCTTTAGTTTCAAAGTCCAACTAATCTCTTATTGGTGGAATACTTTTTGCCATAATTTTCTTCTCCCTTTCTTTCCTCCCTAAGTTCTCACCCTTTTGCTTCATTTGCATAATTGCAACATAGTTTTTTTTCTATTTCTCTTTATATAAACCATGAAACTTTTTTGCTCATTAATTTCTACAATTTTTCTATAAATATCTTAGTAATCATTAGTTAGTTGAAGTGCTACTATGGTCGTATAATGTACATTCATGTAAATTTCCTGATTACCATATTCATTTGCTTAATTTGTTGTATTTATGCATTTATTTAGTATTCATCTTAGTTATGGTATCATCCGAGTTAATCAACAAAATGATGTACGGTAGATTACCACGTATCGATCATACCGTACCGAAACTAACGGTATACCGAATAACGGTATACCGCAATTGTTGGTACGGTAACGGTATAGAATTTTTCAATACCGAAAGATACGGTAGGTACACGGTATTGAACAAAATGTTCGGTAACCGTACCGAAACCACCCCTAGATGAAATTGATAAAAAATATAAAATTACGAAGGGGGTATTTTAGACTAAAGACATGGGGATGGGTTTATTTAAAAGCTTTTTTTTTTGTGGACCAATGTGCATTTAAATCCCTTGTTATGTCTTTTTTTGCCATTTGCCCAACTTGTATTATAATTCAAAACCATATTACAAAAAAATAAAGAATTATAAAATATAAAAATTAGAAAAAGGTAAAAGAACGTGATAATTTAAAATGTACAAGTAATGTTTAAGAAGAACGACTAAGATTTATTGTTTTCAAGAAAAATCACAAAATCTATAAAATAAATAACATAAATATATGAAATTTGTGATAAAAAGCAAAAAATGCACCATATTTGTAAAATTAAAATATATATAAGAAACTTAATAAAATTACATGAATTTTGCAGAACATATAAAATTATTATGTTAGTTTTTTTTTTCTTATATTTATAATTCAATTTTTTTTTATTAAGTTATCATGTTTGGTTTTTAATATTTATTATTCAATTTTATTTTTCACTATTTGGAATTTCCAAATAATAGTTATAAACTTAGTAGTGTTCATTTAGCAATTATAGGAGCCTATATGTCAATAATTTTCGGTTATACATAAATTTATTGTGAAAAACCACAATGAATTGTTCGATAATTTAAATAAATAAAGGGTGCTCAAAATGTAAAAATAAAATAAATGAATAAATAAATTAAAAAAAATAAAAGCCAGTTTACTAAAACCTTGAATATCTCCTATCTATGTATTTTTGTTGAGAAGTCTTAACTATGTAATTAGTGTTGGTCTGCCACCATGCAGATCCTGAAACTGAGCAAGGTTCATCCGGAGCCTCTCACCGAACCGTTCCCCAAATGGTACAAAGTCCACTGGAAGATATTGGAAGACAAATGGTCCAAAAATGTGGCTATCTACCACTGGCAATTACAGTTCTTGGAGGGATTTTGCGTAAAAAGCAAACAACGAGCGAGTGGCAGAGGGTCAGCGAAGACGTTGATTTATATTTGAAGCGTGGGGATGAAAAGGTGAAACAGGTATTGGACTTGAGTTACAATGCCTTACCTTACTATTTGAAGCCGTGCTTCCTCTATTTAGGATGTTTTCCTGAGGATGAAGAAATTCATACAGAAAGATTGTACTTATTGTGGATGGCTGATGGCCTGATTTCTTCTAAAGAAAAAGGAAGAAAAGAAACTTTGAGGGATGTAGCTGAACGTTATCTGAATGAACTAGCATCTCGGTGTATGGTTCAAGTACGAAAGCATGAGTATTATACGGGCAGGTATAATATGTATGAATCATGCCGCCTTCATGATTTGATGCGCGATCTTTGTTTATTAAAGGGAGAAGAAAAAGGGTTCCTCAAGCTCATTGATCTAAGGGGACAGACAAAATGTGACGTCGCTTCTATTGGTACTGCTAGCAGATTAGCCATTCATCGTCATGGAGATGCGGATGGATATTTCAATAGGGGAGAAGAAGGGAAGAACCTGAGGTCTCTTCTACTCCTCCAAAAAGAATGGGGTAGAGTGCTAAAGATTGGTTCTAAAGACAGTGTAACCGATTTCAACAAGTTGAAACGTCTAAGGACTCTTGCTCTAGAGAAAGGTGAATTTGTATTATCTAACGAGGTAGGTAAGCTAATCCATCTGAGATATTTGAGTTTGTTTAATAGCAATGTCAAAGAGCTACCATTGTCTATTGCCAACTTAACATATCTGCAGACATTAGATTTGAGAACGATGCTGGAGTGTATTGAAGTGCCGAATGTGATTTGTAAGATGAAAAGATTGAAGCATCTATTTCTTGGTCGGATAGAAGTCATTGGAGAATGTGAAGACAAACTGATTCTGGATGGGTTGGAGGAGTTGGAGACCTTAAGAGATGAGTCGCATCCTTCATGTGTCCGCTTTGACGATATCCCCAGATTGACAAATTTACGACATCTGAAAACTAGTGTTCGTGGTAATGCCGAACTCTCAATCATTGCCGATCAGATGAGCAGCGAAAATACGCAACTACGTGAGGCACATCTCGAGATTTTCAGTTCAGATGAAGGATCAGATAATCTAAGTAAGATGTTGATGTCCCCCTCACTCGTCACTGTCAAACTCCTAAACGTATCTGTCTCCACGGGTTTTAGTTTGCCACGCTATCAAAGAGGCATGTGCATGAATTTGGTTGACTTCACACTTAGGGATAGTGTTACGATTGTGGCAGATAATTTTATGGGAATGCTGGGAACGTTTCCCATGTTAAAAACGGTTGAGCTGGGGCTTACGAGATTCCACAACGGGCAGATGAGATGCCTTGCAACTTCATTTCCACAGCTCAAGTTTCTTACCCTCTCTCACCTGTATAATCTAGAGAGATGGGTAGTGGATGAAGGAGCCTTTCCCAATCTTTCTTCTTTGCGTATTGAATATTGCCATAAGTTGGAGATGATTCCTGATGGATTGCGATTCATCACTACCCTTCAAGAATTAACAACTCAAGGTATGCCCAGAAATTTCAACGACAGATTACGGGAGATGGTGAATGATCAACCAGGAGAAGATTATCACAAAGTCCGTCACATACCATCTATTTCACTCATGGACCTACAATGGTGATAAACGGGGACAAGATTATTATTATAGAGGAGTCTGTCAATTGCCATCTATTCTATTTGATTTTAGTCATTATATTGAATTAGTGACAATAACGATATTGATACAATTGTTTTTTTTTTTTTTTTTGTTTTTTTTTTTCATGCTTTGGTTTGTTCACTCTTGTAAAACGTTTATATTTGGTGACAATATTTTATGTTGTTTCAATGATTTCGGTTCATGGGTTTGAGTGCTGAACAAATAGAGTGGGTGCTTGCAGTTGCGAGTCCAGAAATTTGGTACAAGGGGCTTAAATTTTTGGAAGTACGTGGGCAGTGTTAAGTGTATATTTTTACACTTAATTGTACCTTTTAATTGGAGCTTTTGCTGTGTTATAACGATAATTGGTGCTTAAAATGGTTGTTATTTGTATTTTAGGTACAAATTGAAGAATTGGCAACTTATGGGGTAAAAACTGCAAATTCGGAGAAAAAGTGGGCCAAAAGTGAAAAAATCAAAACTTTGAAGAATTAAAGACCGGACGGCCGTCCGGATTTCAGAACTAATTCTCGCACGGCCGTCCGGGTCAACGAAGTGGCGCAGTGAAGGAATTTTAATTACACAAGGAAACCGCCCTCTTATATCTTTGCACCCTATTTAAAGGCCAAATAGCACACAATTAGGAATCTATCTTTTACATACGCAATCTAGGAGCAAGAGAACGGAGCAACGAAGACGAAGACTTGACGAATCTTCATCATAGTTCTCCCTTTTTACTTTTATTTCTCGATTTTTATGAACTTTCGTATTTTTATTATGCTTTTCGTAGAGAACATGTGTAGCTAAGTTTTTATTCTAGGATTTTGTTGGAACCCTATGTGGTAATTCGAACCTCTTTTTCTACTTTTATGCAAGTTTAATTCTTCGATTATTTCTTCTATTTTGATCTTATTTAGCGCATGAACGTAGCTAATTTATGTTGCTATTAGTTATTATTAGAATTGATTGACAGATCGTTTTAATAATTGGAACAGGGATAAAAGAGCCTTCGAGTAGTTTTCACCGGATGAGTGTGTTAATTGCATGTATTATCGTAGACATATAGATAATGCCTTAGGTAGCCGTTTACGAGACTTGTTATTTAATGATTTATTCATACTAGGTTTGCATAGACATATAGTGAATCGTTTATGAATAATAGACTTAAAATACACGCGACAGCTGATATAGTAAACTTCTATGAAGTTTACTCGTGAAGAATCGTAACACAATGGGGGTTTCTATTCTATTACGTATTATTATTTCTCTCTTCACGAGTAAACTTCAAACGTGAAGACTGGAAACTTCAAACGTGAAGACTGGAAACTTCAAACGTGAAGAGTGGACAGAAACCGCGAAACACATCGCTAGAGAATTCCTCTGTTGAAATATCTGCCAAATTTTAAAATAATAATAATAATAATAATAAAAGGGTGAGAGAAAAATAAACAACTTTTTTTTTTTTTTTTTTTTAATCGAGATAGAGAGAAGAGATGAGAGAGGGGTCGCCGGCCATGGAGAAGAAGAGAGGCAGCGGCTAGGTTTTAGGCCATGGAGAAGAAGAAGAAGAAAAAGATAGAAAAAGATAGAGAAGCACCACCGGGGGAGGGAGAAAATTCGGGTGGTGTTCATAAAAAGATAGATAGAAAAGAAAAAAGATAGAAAAAAGAAAAATATTAGAGTACCACCACCGGGGGAGGGAGAAAATTGGGTGGTCACCGCCATGGAGAAGAAAGACGGCTAGGTTAAAAAACCTGGTGCTCTGATACCATGTTGAATGACCATCTCAACCAAAAGCTTAAGCTGTTAGTGAAATGTATCATTTAGTATTAATATCTCCAACAGATTTGGGCCTTCTTTGAACCGTTTGAGCCTTTCAAGCCTACCCTTTTTATCGAACTTATCCTTAGAACCTTGATTTGAGCCTCGCAGAAAATGTGTTTTTTTTTTTAGCCAATATGTAGAAGGTAGAAAAGTGGAGATTTTTGAACAATTATCCCTTGGAGTTCGGTCGAAAATTTTTATAAGATCTTTTTTTTTTTTCGATAAAAAAAAAAAAAAAAAAAAAAAAAGGAGAGATAGATATATATGTGCATCTTTATATATATATATATATATCTAAATTCTTCGATTCAAAAAAAAAAAAAAAAAAAAAGAAAGAGAAGAAGAAGAGATTAGAAGGGAGAAATAAGGACTAGTTGTTGAATTGTGTTGAAAACTCGATCCATTGCCTCAAAGGCAAAAGTGTTGACGTTTGAACTTTGGAGAATCGAGTTTATTAAAATCCCTAGAGGTGAATTCATTGTTTCAAACGCCTATCTTTCAAATTTTGGCGTAATCACCTCAATTCAAGAAAATTAGCCACACATACCCATATTACCTACCTCGGACCAAAGAGCCTAACAATTGAAAGCCACAAAGTCCCAATGATCCCAATAGCTTAATGTTCAATATTAGTTGAGTAGAATAATTTGGTGAGTATTTGGAGTCAAATATATGCATGTAAGTATAAATTCCTTCTATCTTTAACTTGCAAATATTGGATACTTGAAGCAATTGTATTATTGTGGTTTTTGGTAATAGTGAGTGACTAAGTGCCGTTGAATGTTAAGCTTACGAATACCTAGGAATTATCATCATAATTGCAGGTTCTGAAAACGCGAAGTTGACCAATCGATCTATGTAATGAGATGTATAGTCGAGTTTTGTGCTCATAAATTGATTTTACTTGAGGACAAGCAAAAGTTCAAGTTTGGGGGTGTGTTAAGTGTATATTTTTACACTTAATTGTACCTTTTAATTGGATTTTTTGGTGTGTTTTAACAATAATTGGTGCTTAAAATGGTTGTTATTTGTATTTTAGGTACAAATTGAAGAATTGACAACTTATGGGGTAAAAACTGCAAATTCGGAGAAAAAGTGCGTCAAAAGTGAAAAAATCAAAACTCCGAAGAATTAAAAACCGGACGGCCGTCCGGATTTCAGAACTAATTCTCGCACGGCCGTCCGGGTCAACGAAGTGGCGCAGTGAAGGAATTTTAATTACACAAGGAAACCGCCCTTTTATATTTTTGCACCCTATTGAAAGGCCAAATAGCACACAATTAGGAATCTATCTTTTCTACACGCAATCTAGGAGCAAGGGAACGGAGCAACGAAGACGAAGACTTGACGAATCTTCATCATAGTTCTCCCTTTTTACTTTTATTTCTCGATTTTTATGAACTTTCGTATTTTTATTATGCTTTTCGTAGAGAACAAGAGTAGCTAAGTTTTTATTCAAGGATTTTGTTGGAACCCGGCCCTATGTGGTAATTCGAACCTCTTTTTCTACTTTTATGCAAGTTTAATTCTTCGATTATTTCTTCTATTTTGATCTTATTTAGCGCATGAACGTAACTAATTTATGTTGCTATTAGTTATTGTTAGAATTGATAGACAGATCGTTTTAATAATTGGAACAGGGATAGAAGAGCCTTCGAGTAGTTTTCACCGGATGAGTGTGTTAATTGCATGTATTATCGTAGACATATAGATAATGCCTTAGGTAGCCGTTTACGAGACTTGTTATTTAATGTTTTATTCATACTAGGTTTGCATAGACATATAGTGAATCGTTTATGAATAATAGACTTATAATACACGCGACAGCTGGTTATGAGTAATTTCGTGTCTTGGGTTAATAATCGAGAATCCTAACTTGCATGATAGAAGATTAATTGGGTGAAGAATTATTGCATAGGGGGAAGATAAAATCCTAGATCCGTTTTTATATTGATATTTTCTGTGTTTAATTGCTTTCTTAATTAGTTTAATTGTTTAATTGATTAATTTGACAACCTTGCGTAGGCTGGATAAAAATCATAATTGTTAAAATTTGGTACTTAGGATTAAATAATTTGAGTATTCCCTGTGGGATCGACATCCGACTCTCACGAGTCCACTTTACTACTTGTTTGCGATACGCGCACTTGCGTTTTAGGTATTTCACCCAACATGCAGCGTCCCCGAAAAATTTTTAGGAATTTTTTGTGACAAAATCAAAAAATAAAAAAAAGAAAAGGAAGAAAAAGAAGAAAAGGTTAGAATTTTTTGCATTAACTTGAATTTTGGATCGGCTAATTAACAATAATTGAGGCTTCTTTTGCATTAATTTGGGGGAAATTTAGAAATTAAGAGTGGGCAATAACACAGAGGGGTTTATGCAGTTTACCCTTTAATGGAACTACACATACACCGACAAACAACCAAATCCCCCATGTTTGTTATTTATCCACGAATGACTGCCAATTAAATACTACAATACATAAAAAAAATGTGAAAAAGTTTTTTGCGAAGCATTTCCAAACTATTTAAACCACTGCCGCGAGGAAGCAACAACTCAGTTGCAAAGTGAACCCTAGCGTGCGAGAGGGAGTACATTTATTTCTACTCGGATTTAAAATTGAGGATCTAAGCCCAGCATAAATAAAACTCTGAACAAGGGGATGAGTTGTTTTCAAATAATTGTGTTTATTGATAAACCTTACACTTGGTGAACATCACCGGGTAATCTAATACCGTAAAAATACACACATTCACACATATATAGATATGTGTAAGAATGTAACTAATGAGTAGTTATAATACACATCAACAATGTAACTACACCTTATGAAGTTCACCAGTTGAAATCCTATACACGAATAATTCATATTCACAATAAATATTTTTTTCTTTATTGATTGTTGAATGATCATCTTAATCAAAATTTAAGTTGTTAGTGATGTGAATCATTTAATATTTGTATTTTCAAATCGCCCCTTAGTGTAGACAATTTACATTTGAAGTCTTGCACTTGGAATATTTATTTAGCCTTGATTTTGATACCATTTGAATATATGTGAAATACCAAATATTTTATGTATATTATTCTCAATAGAGAAATGGACATATATACACAAAATAAAGGCTAATTACAATCAAATCAAATATCTAAAATAAGG